GCTCATTAGCATGCTGGCTGGGGAATTCTGGGAGTGGAAGTCCACCCATCTTAAACTACTTGAGGTCCAGAAACATTGCTCAAGATACTACATCAAGTCAAGAACAATGACAAAGATATAATAACAAGAGAAGTCGTAAAATGGGACTAATCTCACTTCACAAACGTCTCGCTTAACAACCGGATGGTTAATTGTGGCTGTAAGTTGAGGGAGCCCGCCATTTTGTTGCCTCTGGGTGAACGCGTTGGAAATTCACTGCAAAGGACCGAGGGCAGCGTGATGGAGAGGCGGTGTAAGAGGAAGATGCTAGGGGTAGTGGCCGGGGGTCCAGATGTCAGAGCAGATGGGCCGAGAAGGGATAGTGACCTCCGGTACTTAGAACATGTCTTGTCCAGCGCGGGAAAATCTGGAAGTTTAAGGCAGTTCAATTGGATCTAAAGATTTATGACAAGCTTAAATTCCCTATAAGAATCTGAACTACTAATGTCGCAAAGGGACTCGAGACCGATGATACGTTTCACTCCTCCTTCTCTTGGGCTCAGCCTGGACATCTATAAATTCCCTTCCAGGGCTAACTTTTAGACCTGTAAGGTAGGGATATATGGGAAAGACCTTTTGATCACGTGGCCATGAGGATTCTGCGACAGTCATAAGACCGAGGACTAGGTCACCAGTCCCTTTTTTCTGTGCCTTTGTAACTCTGAACCATCACTAAATCCATGGTCGTAAATCCTGTAGTTTATATTCCTTTTTTTTTCTTTTTTGTAATTTTTAATGTAACAATTCCATCTTCAGTTGAACACAGTGTTGTTGGGTACAAATATCTTGGTTGAACAATAATCAAAATTTGCAACATCCTTCATTACGTTGATGTTACCGTAATTCTACAATATTAAAATAGTAATATTCCACATACTAATCATAATATTTACTTATCTCTTTTAACATATCTTCTTTATTTTGCTTCTCTGTTTCTAACTTCCATTTTTTGTTATTTAACCATTGATAAAATAAATCCCACGTCATATAATATCCAGTTTGCTCTTTCTCCTTAATTGCCAGAGTTAATCTGTTCATTTCTGCCCATTCTAATATTTTCCTAATCCCATCCTCATCTGTAGGTATCTCTTCACTCTTCCAAGTTTGTGCAAATACAATTCTAGCAGCAGTTAATATACGAATAACCAAATGTGCATTTTCCTTGCTGTATTTTTCGGGTAGAATCCCCCGTAGAAATCTTTCAAGTTTATATTCCTGTAGTTATCTGGATAGGTAAGGATACAAAAATTGAAATTCTATACTCCTTTTATCCAGCAGCAAATTCCACTGAATTCAGTGAGGCTTTCTCCTAAAATCTAGAAGAATTCCCCCATTAGGGGAAGAATTAACAATGCTATTATTTGACCATTACTCCAATTTCATTGTTTCATTCTTGTTTGTAACTGCCTCCTATTGCAGTATTTATTATATATGGCTGTTCTGTTTTTATGCCTGCTCCGTCCACGCTCTGCGAGAGAGATGGGCAGCTTCTGAATGAGTGAATAAATAAAATATAAATAATGCATATCTTCCTAAAGTATTTTTAACATGAAAAGCGCCTCCGAATTTGCGTATCAGCTTTCTTTCTGCGGCGGTGGCGTCTTCGAAGGCTCTTCAGCTGGCGTTTCTGGGACAGAGTTTTCCTTTCATTATTTTAATGAGTCATTAGCTTAAAAGCGCACCATTAATTCTAATTGCCTGGCCAGGAGCCCACTTGGTCCAGGGGCCAAATCCAAAAGGGAAAAATGATCTTTCTGGATGCAGAGTGAGGCGGTTTGGGGCAATGTAAGCAGTCCTCGACTTACAACAACTTCATTTCCTGACCATTCGAATTACAGCCGCGCTGAAAAAAGTGACGTAGGGCTGTTTTTCACACTTAACGACCGTCGCAGCATCCCCAGGATCAAAATTCAGGTGCTCGGCAAACTGAGTCTTATTTATGACGGTTGCAGCGTCCCTGGGGGTCCCGTGACCCCCCTCTTGCGACCTTCTGACAAGCAAAGTCAGTGGGGAAGCCAGATTCACTTTACGACCACGTGACCCACTTAACAACTGCAGTGATTCAGATAAACAGATAATCAGAGTTGGAAGGGACCTTGAAAGTCATCTAGACCAACCCCCCACCCAAGCAGGAGACCCTATACCATTCCTGACAGATGGCTGTCCAGTCTCTTCTTGAAAGCCTCCAGGGATGATGAAGCTCCCACAACTTCTGAGGGCAACTTCTGTTCCATGGGTGGATTGTTCTCTCCTGGATCAGTTTCCATCCATTGTTCCTTGTCTGGCCTTCGGGTGCCTTGGAAAATAGCTTGACCCCTTCCTCCTCCTCTCTGGGGCAGCCCCTCAAATATTGGAAGATGCTCTCCTGTCTCCCCTGGTCCTTCTCTTCCCTAGACTAGCCAGGCCCAGATCCTGCAACCGTTCATGGTATGTTTTAGCCTCCAGTGTCCCTTAATCATCCTGGTTGCTCTTCTCTGCACTCTTTCCAGAGTCTCAATCTCTTTTTTATAGTCTGGTCACCAAAACTGGATGCAGGACTCTAGGTGTGGCCTTACTAAGGCTTTACAGAGTGGTATTAGTACCTCTCTCGATCTGGATTGTATCCCTCTGTGAATGTAATTTAGGATTGCATTGGCTTTTTTGGCTGCTGCTGCACAGCATTGGCTCCTATTTAGCTGGTTGTCCACCAAGACTCCAAGATCCCTCTCCCAGTTCCTGCTATTGAGCCTGGTTTCACCCAGTCTACAGGTGTCCTTTGGGTTTTTCTTGCCTAAATGTAGGACTTTACTTTCTTCCATGTTGAATTTCCTTTTGTTAGATAGGGCCCAGGGTTCTAGTCTGTCGAGATCCATCTGGATCTTCAGCCTATCTTCTTGGGTGTTGGCTATTCCAGCCAGCTTAGTCTCATCTGCAAATTTGGTAAGTTCCCCTTCTATTCCCTCATCTAAGTCGTTAATTCATTTAACAACTGTGGCAAGGAAGGTCGTACAACGGGACACACTCACTTAAGAACTGCGTCGCTTGTCCACTGAATTTTTGGGGGTCCATTGTGGTTTGTATATTTCACTTAGTAAAATAAATGTATACAAAAATTTGGTACAAAAATTAGAACAGAATAGAATAGCAGAGTTGGAAGGGGCCTTGGAGGTCTTCTAGTCCAACCCCCTGCCTAGGCAGGAAACCTTGCGCCACTTTAAGACAAACGCTTATCCATTCTCTTCCTAAAAACTTCCAGTATTGGAGCGTTTACAACCTCTGGTAAACAACCCAATTGTTCTGTCAGGAAATGTCTCCTTAGTTCTAATTTCGGGCTCAGTTGTGGTTGTAATTCGAGGACTGTGGCAAGAAGGGTCGTAAAATGGGACGAGGCCAATGCCTCCCTCAGCAATGGGAATGTGGGCCTCCGCTGCGGTCATAAGTCGAGACTCAACCCCGCAAACGGAAATCCGTCGGTTGTGGAACCTGGCCGGGCTTACTCCTGCGTAAACCCACGGAGTTTCTCTCCAGTGCAGGATGGATTGCAAAGAGGCCTCGGCGGAAACGCTCTACGACGTGCTGCACGACATTGAGTACCGGAAAAAGTGGGACACCAACGTCATCGAGACCTTCGACATCGGCAAACTCACCGTCAACGCGGATGTGGGATACTACGCCTGTGAGAAACTGGGGCGGGTGGGCGGGCTGGGTGGGTGGGGGTGGAAGCGGGACCAGACCTGGACCCGGCGGGTGTGGGGGGGTGGGCAGAGCTGTGGGGACTCTCACCTCCATGTGGTTTTGGATTTGATACTTGGAGCAGCAAGCTCCATCGTCAAATATATAGGTAGTTGTGTTTTTTTTGGATAGACGTTTCGTGACCCAACTAGGGAACCTCATCAGTGCTAGAAGGGAGTGGGGTTTGCTGTCTGTTTATATCCCCAATGAAAGAACAGTCAACTCAGACCAACCATCAAGCAGTAAAGAATGGCCCAATCAAGGACCCAAGAATAAGAACACACACACACACACACACACACACACACACAAAGACACAGACACAGACACAGACACACACACACACACACACACACACACACCGCTCCCATTGACAGGGCCAGGTTCTGTATGTAGGCAGAAAGCAACCCCTCTCCCCTTCTGGCACTGATAAGGTTCCCTAGTTGGGTCATGAGACGTCTGCAAGAAAACCACCCAGCTCAGAGACCCCCAAGGGCCCTGCAGTCATTGTTCTCCTCCTCTTCCTCCCTGCAAACCCCACTCCTTCCTGGCACTGGTGATGTTGCCTAGTTGGGTCATGAGACGTCTGCAAGAAAACCACCAAGCTCAGAGAGCCTCAAGGGCCCCGCAGTCCTCCTCCTTTGCTTCTCCCTCATCCTCTTCTTCTTCTCCTTCTCCTCCTCCCCCTCCTTCCTTCCTTCCCTCCCTGATGATGTTCCCTAGTTTGGCCAGGAGACGTCTGCAAGAAAGCCACCAAGCTCAAGAGAGCATCAGGGACCCCACAGTCCTCCTCCTCCCTCCCTCCCTCCCTCCCTCCCTTCCTTCCTTCCTTCCTTCCTTCCTTCCTTCCCTGATAATGTTCCCTAGTTTGGCCAGGCGACGTCTGCAAGAAAGCCCCCAAGCTCAAGAGACCCCCAGGGACCCCCTAGTAGAAATGAGCTCCGGGCTTTGTGGATGCGAGATGGATGCCTTGGAGGGGGCAGGAACCGGCCTGGCTCAAAGGAGGCCACGCATTTAGGCCGGGCTCGGTCCAAGTCCTGGCCTGGCCGCTTCCTTCCCACCTGGGGGGAATCCCACCCTGGACACTTGGCTGCCCAGAAAAAAGCACCTTCCCTCCTGGAACGGAGATCAGGCGCTGAGCTTGTCCAGCTGTTTGGAGTCCCCGCCCCCCCCCGCCCCACCCCAGTCCCCTTCTCCCCCCCCCCCCCCCCCCCCCCCCCGGGCAGGGAAGTGCCCCAAACCCTTGAAGAACCGGGATGTCATCACTCTGCGTTCCTGGCTGCCGATGGGCAGCGACTACATCATCATGAACTATTCGGTCAAGCATCCGGTAGGTAACGGGTTCCTGGAGGGGGGGGGGCTGGGGGGGAGGGCTGGTGTGGGGGGGATGCTGGACAGTCTCAGCGGGGTCAGAAAGACCGAGAGGG